ATATACAAGTAACACAAAACAAAGTCTTATTCTTTTCTTTTCTCACTCAAAAATTACAAAGATCACTGCACCAGCACATCGATTCCTCAATTCTCATCTCATATCATAAAAATTATTTGTTTTAACGTTATTAATGATTTTAACCACCAAAAAAGAAATTAGTAGAGTATAACTCAGGTCAGGCTTGAACAGATAATCTCAGGTTACAATTCTGGCTTAGGTGGGCTTAGGCAACTCTCAGCATAACTCGAGCTAGGCCTGGACAACCTCTCAACCCGCTCGAGTTGCACATCTACAATGGACATGCAACGGTAAACAAGACTAAGTTACAAGTCATTATTCAAGATCAATCACCCAACAAACAACCCCTCCTTGAAATGAGTTTTCATTTATACACTTCCACCAAAGCCATGTTGAAGCGGGAGTACACCACCCATGTGGCATGTTGTTTGTGAAATAAGTCAACTAAATAGCGCTTCACACATTGCTCAAGACTTTCCAAAAAAAGGTTCCCATGCAAAGGTTCACCAAGCACCAAGACAAAACAAAGTTGCACGCCTTGTGAAAGAGGTTCCTTAATAGACAAGTTTGGAGAGCAACAAACACCGGATACCCTTGAAACCTTTACTTCCCCCTCTTTGGATTCTTCAACAACTTGTTAAACTTCAAAATTAATCCCACACTCCTTGAAAAACAAAGCCAATGCATCAAACTCAAGAATCTCCTCAACAACTTCATTTGAAGCTAGAAAGGGAGCAAATGGTTGAGTTGCAACCATTTCTTCAATGAAACTTGTTTCATCTTCAATAGTATCTTCAGTCTCTATAAGGTGGTCATTCCCATCATCATAATGTCAAAGATTAGAACATCATCTAACCCATGAATGGCAACTTCATCACAAGTCAATTCCTCTTCATAACCATAACATCAACTTCTTCATAATCCAACTCCTCGCTTGTTGGTTCATTAAAGATGGAAACATTTTCAACATACCTTGTTCTACATCTTGATCAAAGATGGGAAGGTCTTGACCACAATCTTATTCTTGGTCACAAATATTTTCCGCATCTTCACCAAAGATGGAAAATTCACCATCATCATAGCTAGGGTTGTGCAAAAATACCGCCCAATCCGCACTAATCCACCCGCCAACCGTGGGTTAGTTTGATCAGCGGTTTAAAATTTATAATCCGCTTTCAAAACCACCCCACTCCGCTATAGTTAATACATTTTTTTTTTTTTACTTAACAAAATATCAAAGTAAAAATAAGTGTGAGAGAGATTTACGATGTAGAATTTGTTACAAGTTAATGTTATGTATATGAAAAATATTATTTAAAATTCATTAGTGTTATATATATGAAAAATATTATACAAATGCTTGATAATTGTTTACGATTATTCTTCAATCAGCTAACAAATCAAAACCATCCAGTCTGCCATTCACAGTTTGGTTTATAATTTTACCCTCAAACTGCACCGTGTGCACCCCTAATCATAGCTTTGTGTTAAAATCTCCTAACAAAAAATTACTTTATGACGTTCATCCTCAAAATACTTGCTCTTTTCAACATTAGCGGAGTAATCGTATCGGATACAGTGACAGAATGGTTGTCCAACCTCAAAGATACCTTGATATTAATGCCCCGATTTTGAAGTACTCTTTCTTTGTTGTTTTTCACCTCACCTAACAATGGTTGCAAGTGATGACAAGGCAAGAATTGCTCCACAAGTTGCATCTTCATTTTTTGAATAACTCTTTCTCTGTTGCTTTTCACCTAACAGAGGTTGCAAGTGATGCTAGGGCAAGAATTGCTCCTCGAACCTCATATTCATTTGCACTAATCTCCAATCTCCAATATTTCTTTGCCTCTTTATTGCCTACAAACTTGCTATTGCTTCCACCAATTAGAACCTCTACCTTTGAAGCTTTGAGAGACCATTGTCGCTTCCTTTCTTCTGACACATCATGGTACTCCAAAAGACGCTCAATAGAGGTCAACCATTCTACAAACACATCCAGAATGTAGCTTCCATGAAATTCGAGATGCACAAAATTGGAGTTATGTCGTTTAGAGTCAAATTCATAAGAACATGCTCGACACCAATGCCCACGAGGATTATCCAATTGAATGCAACAATCCTTGGAACCATCACTACCATTGGTTAGAAGTTGCAAATGTTGCACTCTTCCAATCAAAGTAGCAACTTGGCCCCACTCACCTCTTTAATATCTCCTTCGATTTTGGTTTCTCGTTGTTCCTTCCGCGTTCTAAGTGAGGATTCATCCCAATTTCTTCTTCCAAATTCGTAGCATAACCCCGATCTTGGCCACCTTGATGACCCTACCACTTTGAGCCATTAATGTTGTAACCTGGCACATTCAAAACAATACAGCGGCTGGAACTGGACCTTTGAACCAAATCACATAATAGAAACAGCCAATAGAACTAGCAAGGGATTCCTGATGGATACCAACTCTAGTTTAACTAAAGTCCAAAAGGTCAATTAAAATACCATATTGTTGGCTACACATAATCAATTTCCAAAGATAACCACTCATAATCAACTATCCAGAAATGTAGTTAGGGCTCAATCGCAATTCACAAACACAGCTTTAATCCCTCTTCAGGCAAGCAATACAAAGATCGAAGGTTCATAATCGACCAGAATCAAAGTCAACGCACTATGAACAATCGAGGAGCTCTAAGAATCTATTGAAGCCTCGAAGTTGAATCCAGATTCATGATCCACATAACAAAGTCAAACTTCAATCCAAGTTTCAAAGTCGAACTCAGAATGAAATCCAAGTTGTGAAAATCAAATAGGGATTGTAACCAAATCACAAACTCATATTTGAAATGAAGATTTGATCGGGTCTGAATGTGTTGCTCCACTCATAACTTCGGGTTTCGAATCGAGTTGGATCTCATCCAAGGTTGTCAGATCGAGTTCAAATCTCAAATAAGATATCGGATGGAGTTCGATCTAGATTAGTGATGCTTCCAGATCTGGTGTTCTTCAAGTTGCAAACTCAGATCGCAAAGCCAAATAAGCCAAGAAGGTCAAAATCGAACCACACGATACCTTGAAACCCAATTGCAAACTCGGGAACTCAAATCGCAATACACACTGAGCAATTGGAATACCAAATCGACATCTAGACTTGGCTCACTAGCCAACACATGAATCAAACACCAGTAGAACTCAACTTTGAACAATGCAAAAGCTTTGGTCAACGAAGTTAGGGTTCCAATCTGGAGGTGAACCAAATCAGCAACGTAGGGTTTCAAATCAGGTGCATGATTTGGTTTCAAAGCATGTGGTGATTACATGATTAAGAGTAGGAGATAGATCAACTAGAATTTGGAAGATAGTTGGACCTCTCTCAATTTCATGCAATTAATACATGAAATAGGAACAAAGATCTGAACCTAAGCTCGGATACCAAAATGATAAAACCAAATCTCAAGATTGAAATGTTTTAGAGAGAGAAAATCCCAAATTGGGCTACGAACAGCTAAAGCTCCAATTACAATATCAAAATATCATCAAAACTGCCTTTCAAAGACTCAAACGACTTATTTATAGGCTAATGACAACTAAGTAACCTTAAACAAACTACCACTCTAACTATTCTTACATCATCACTTGATTGTCATATCATCCATTAATAATTGTGTTCAAATTTTATTTCAAAGAATTTTAAGAAACTAAACAAGCCTGCGTAAAATTCAAACTAACCTTTGTACAATTACAAAGACCAACAAATTTAGTTAGAAGGCTCAAATATTGTTATTTGAATTTTTTGACTTTTTTCATTTCATATTAAGAAATCTATTTTCATTATACGCTAATTTTGTTATATGTGTGCTTTATTTCAATCAAGCACACTCTTGTGCTCCGTCCAAGTGTGCCTCATGCTTTCACCAACATTGCCAAGGAAGTCAAGGTGGAAATTTTTTCTCCTCTTCCACAAAATCACTATTCTCGGGCTGTTGTTCACACACCCCAAAAAGTTCCTCAACCCCAATTACTCCCAAACAATCAAAACCCCTACCCTTACCCTATTGACCATTAATTTAACCATTAAACCCCTAAACTAACTGTTGTCCAGGCCTTTCAATCACACTGTTTCTGAAAATCCTACAACATGCAACTTTCGGAAATCAAGCCAAAACACCCCTATCCAGTCACGTCCAAACAATCATAGCCCCTACCCCTACCATACTGGCTATCAATTTAACTGTTAAGCCCCTAAAATTAACTGTCGTCTAGGACTTCTAATTATGCTGTTTCTGAAAATCCTGAAACATGCAAATTTCAAAAATAAGTCAAAACTCATTTTCTGTATCTGAAAACTCTAGAAGCCTGCTTCTACTTCTTAGAACCCTAACCCTAGAAGTTATCCGTAACCAAAACCCACCACAATTCCTATCGTAGGCAGCCTTAGGCCTTAGTTTGTCCTACATCAGTGTGGTCTGAATCAATCTCATCAAGATCATTTGATTATCATTGGACAAAGTAATGAGTGACTTATAAATAATAAATAGATAGGATAGAACCACTTGTTCCATAATTTTAGGTTTTTGGTAATCAGAAGATTGATAAAGGCTTGCTTCAAATCTATATTGCTTACACTATAGAAGTTATGCGATTTTGGCTTCTTCACATAAACTAGAGGTATCATGCAGAAAGAAGTGCTTTGCCTTGTTATTCATTCCGTGATTAAGAATCTGACCAATCAAATCATTCGTAATTTGCATGTAACCCTGATTATCATCAAAATCTTTTGCTCTCAACACCAAAAACCCAACTTTGGAGAATAAGTAAATTAGCAACATATAAGCAGAAATTATTGATGTGAGTAAAATCAAGCACCAAGAGAAGATTAACTTGTGATTAAAAGTAAAGCAAAACCACAAACCACACAAAAGTGTAAAGATAATCAAAGTGACCACAAATTTAGTTTAGGCTCACATCATTGCATTTCATCATACCTGCTTTCCATTATCCAGCGTAACTCTAAATAAAGGCCGAGTCTTTGGGCCCGCATCATTGCATTTCAGGACTTCCATCTTGTACAAGGTATATACATTTGGATCTAAAGCCCCAAATTGGAAAACAAACAGAAATGAATGTTATGGGAACACTCGAGATGAGGAAAATAAGTTGAGTACAAGCTATGGCAGAACTGCAATTTACAAAAACAGAGAATCCTTCAAGAAATGATCCACCTGCTATTGAAGGAAACTTCCTCACAGCAGTATATCCTTCAGGCCAGATAAATCTCCCATCCTGAAAATACTCTGAGTCCTTCACAATCTTTCCTGTATGAGATTTATATGCACATGAGTTTGAATGGAATTAGTCCTAACTCATCAATTAAATAAGTAACACTACCATTTCTTATATGCATTTGAACAATTATTAGCAAAATTTACGGTAGCCCAAGATGTATACTTTCCTTGTTGAAGCTGTCAAATAAATCAAGAACAAAAAAAAAGAATGCAGGTAAAAACAAACTCTCATCAATGATAACCTAGTCATCACATTCTTGCATTGCGTGTTACAGCATGTAAATACAATGTCTCATATTTTAAGGCAACAGCAGTTTAATAATACATACCAAGACTTATCACTTGTAAATCCCCTATCTCAAATGGGCAAGTTTTGGTGCCCTCTAGATTGCTATGTATCCTTTCGTCTCCTCTGCAATCTTCACCTGAATCAGCACCCTTTTCATCCTCTCGACTTCCACTCGCACAATCATCAGCTTCAACAGCATTTTGCATCTTTAACATTCTTTTTGGAAGCTTCTGTTCACTGAGATACCTGATAAAAGGAATGGATACCTTACTCTTCTTTATGCCGGAAATGTTTAAGTAGAAAGAAAACCACGCAAATAAGCTGGTAACAAATGAATCTGTCTCCTTCATATTTTCTGAAAACATAGTTTATATTTTGATGATCTTCATTTGGCCAAGTAACCCAGCCCTTGCAGTTGAACCAGTGAACTGGGCCCACAACCAGGTTATAATCCATTCCATATTTTTTATTACGACTGTAACCATGAAGAACAAGCTACATTACAAAGACAACAGGTAATGGGAGTGCTTCAGATGAGAAATCCAAGGCAAACCCAAAGTAAGGAAAGGAAAGAGATACAGGGATGGGAACATGGGCAGGAAGTCAGCGAGGAAGAATAGTTACATAAGCATAGTTATATAATGCACTAAACATAGCTAAAAAAATTATATAAAGAAACAGGTAGAGAAACAAACGTCTGCAACATTTTTCACTCTTGAGGCCTAAATTCCCTAAATTAGAAGGTCACACAAACTTAGGACCTAGAAAACAACTCACTGAGTCCAACCATTTCATGGGTGGATATAACCAAATCACAGACACTTGACTCCACATGTCTACATACTTCTGTGCAATTGTTAAATATTCAGTCACACAGGATCTGTCTAACAAGGAGTAAAGACATAAAAGGTGCCCCAAGTTACACCTGAAGAAATACAAGGCATGATTGACATATGTTTGTGCCTGGATAAAAATATATATGATAATGAGTTAAATACAGCAACACGGCGAAGCATGCCAATGTCATGCATAATAATTAAGAGATATTTGTACTAAAGAGAAAAGGAAGAAAGAAAGAAAAGAAAAGGCTTAATGAACATAATTTCCCATGTCAACAAGAGTAGAATGAACTCTCAATAAATAAGCTCACATTTTTGCTTCTTCCAAGCTTTGCACAAAATGTGATTTCTTGCATTTCAGATGGAAAGAAGAGAGAAGTCCTCTAAGAAATGAGATAACTTGTTTCATATTAATCCTGGATAATCACAAAAAATAAAGAGATGTTAACCTCACAGGGAGAGATGCATTTGAGTGTATTATTTACTTTTTAACAAACAAGTCTAACAAAAAATTCCCTTCAACTTTCGAAACTTCACACCTTGCAAAATCATGGGTACCAAAAAATTGCACTGAAACTGATTTTACTCCTGAATTTCTGTTTAGACCTTTAAGATTGACAATAAGAGATTCATCCACAATGATTGCTGGCCACATAGCATGACCTACATCAAAACAATTGAACAGAAGTGTTAGCAATTAATCAAACAGTAAATGAGTAGCATTAGACCAATGTTAATAATATAGGGACTATAATATATTATAATTTGTTAGGGCAATAGTCTGCATGATTGATCATTTAGGTTTTCCAGGGATGGCCACTGGTAATACAGGAATGAATTTTAGTAGTGGAATATGCAACATCATGAATGGTGAGGTTTTTAAGATTTTATAATATGCACTTTCCAAGGATTAAATTATTGATTGAGATTTTATCGGTTACAATGCAAATACATTTATCTCAAAGGATATTGGAAGAGAGACATGCCCAGTGGTTCCAGCAATGCAAACTCCACAATGAGTGTCTTCAAGTGGGAGAGAATGATGCAAATAAGATTTCAGCTCTTTTATATTTTTAATTTTATTGTTGTGTAATTAATAGTTGATCAGAAATTTGTTAGTTTATTATAAATTAACCATTAATTATTAGGTTTCCTAATTCATATTGATTTAGTTTCCTATTTTATAGGTTTCTTGTTTTGCAATAAGTAGGTTTTTGGTTATTACAAATAACAATGTAAGCCAGACCCAACAATTTTGATGATTAAAAGAATTTTGAGTTGTGCTCTGTCTCCAACTTTAGATATTGTGTTAAATTTTTTTGATAAATAAACAAACTTTATTAAAAAAGCATGAAGACGATGCAAAGAATCTAATGAACATAGCAACCCAGAATGGACTGTAAAAGCACATTATCTAAGCAAATTCTCCACAAAATGTACAAAAGTCAACACATCAAGATCAACCGAACCCGTAGCCCAACTATGAAATACCATAAGAAGCCTACTTTCTAACCAAAGAAAGGAATGGCACGTGTTTTGAAACCCACGCCTATTACGCTCCAACCAAACCAACCACAACAAGCAATGGGACGCAATTAACCAAGCCTTCCGCTGCCTCTTACCCACCCACGCCCTGCCCCAATTGAGCAGGGCGTCGAACGCCGATCCCGGTTGCACTCAAACCAACCCAAAAAGAGCAACCACCCTACACCAAAGCCGTGACACCACCGAACACTATTCAAGCAAATGATCAACCATTTCCACATCTCTACAACAAAAACAACACCAATTAACCAACACATGCCTCCGCCAGATCAAATTATCAATAGTGAGGATACAGCCCAAAACAGTTGTCCAAACCACAAAAGCTACCTTGGAAGCAGAACCCGATACCCAAATACATTTCCAACGAAACGCACCACCAGCACCCCCTACTAGCACCCCATAAAATGAAAACACTGAGAAAACATCTTTAGACCTCCGGACCGCCATACCATAGAATCCATCCCCTCCCTCGCCCTGCCCCGCCCCCATTCTGCAACCCATACAAAAACCTAGTAGATCCACCAATTGGCCTAACTCCTAATCCTGTACAGCACGACGAAGACAAACATTCCACACAACAGATTGCCCCTACATCCCCTGAACCGAAGCAACCAACTCCTCTCCATCAACGATAATGGCATAAACCAAAGGGAACATCGCCGCCACAGTCAAGCCATCACAAAACCGATCTTGCCAAAAGCGAACTCGATCACCAACCCCCACTTTAAACCAATCAACCATCCCAAATAATTCTTTCCCTTCTTTAATCAAAAATCAATGCAATGTTTTAATAATTATTATTATTCTTTTTATTCAATAATGTGACACTTATCTTATTATTAAAGTGAATTATATTTTAAATTTTAAATTTTAAATTTTTATTAGTACATGACATATTAATTAGAAAGATAATGTTGTAAAATTTATTAGTCTGTATAATATTTTTTAGCCCCTACTAGCACCCCATAAAATGAAAACACTGAGAAAACATCTTTAGACCTCCGGACCGCCATACCATAGAATCCATCCCCTCCCTCGCCCTGCCCCGCCCCCATTCTGCAACCCATACAAAAACCTAGTAGATCCACCAATTGGCCTAACTCCTAATCCTGTACAGCACGACGAAGACAAACATTCCACACAACAGATTGCCCCTACATCCCCTGAACCGAAGCAACCAACTCCTCTCCATCAACGATAATGGCATAAACCAAAGGGAACATTGCCGCCACAATCAAGCCATCACAAAACCGATCTTGCCAAAAGCGAACTCGATCACCAACCCCCACTTTAAACCAATCAACCATCCCAAATAATTCTTTCCCTTCTTTAATCAAAAATCAATGCAATGTTTTAATAATTTTTATTATTCTTTTTATTCAATAATGTGACACTTATCTTATTATTAAAGTGAATTATATTTTAAATTTTAAATTTTTATAAGTACATGACATATTAATTAGAAAGACAATGTTATAAAATTTATTAGTCTGTATAATATTTTTTAGCAAAATAATTATACAATTGTAAAATCAATTTAGTAAAATTAATTGAAAAAAATTTCAGCAAAATAAATAAAAGAGAAACAAAACAAGAATCAGGGAAGGGGAAAAAAAACCAGAACCGTAATGGAAAAAAAAAAAAAAAAAGAGCGAATTAAAAAACTAAAAGGAAAAAAAAAATCTGCTGAGAGATGAAATAAAGGAAAGAAGAAGAGAGAAGAACAAAAGAAGAAGCAAGAAAGACGAAAAGAAGAGAAGAGGGAGAAGACGAAGCAGGAAGAGAGAACAAAGACGTAGGAGAAGAAGATTTACCTTAGAAACGATGTCGAAGAAGAGGACGAAGTAGGACCAGGTTCGTTTCTCTCCTCTCCTCTTTCTCTACTTTTCGTCTCTCTCCTTTTGATACCCCCAAAAACTAGGGTTTTACACTCAATAAAGGAGTAGAAAGCAATTCTTAGGTGCAATGCATGTCCACAAATAACACAAAATCAAGAAAACTTAAGGGCCCAGATCTTAGAAGCAAAAAGCGACGCTTTGTTTTGCCTTGCGCTTCATCGCCTAAGCCTCGCTTCACTCGCCTCAACCTTGCCTCTCCATATCGCCTCGCTTCGAACCCTATGAAGCGCAATAGCCTCGCCTCGCCTCGCTTCTCACTTCTCGCTTAGGCGCGCCTCTAACAACACTGGCCTTATCCCCAAGCATGCTCCTCAACGTACCCAAAACCTCCTCCTCAGTAAAAGGCCTCTCTAACGACCGCCCTTCCTCCTTAGAAATAGAATCAAAAACCACACCATCCAACCCCAGTCGCCACATCTGTCCCTCATCACGAAAAAGATGCTGATAGAACGCCACTATACCATCCCTAACCTCCTCTTCTGACAAAAGCAACACCCCATTCACCCGCATACTCCCTATCTGATTCACCCGCCGATGAGCATTTGCCATGCGATAGAAAAACTTTGTATTACGATCACCATCTTTCAACCACAAGCATCTAGATTTCTGCCGAAAACTAATCTCCTCCATCCAAGCGATCCTCTCATAATCTCTATGAGCCACATCCCTACTTGCCACACCCTCTCCAGAGAGATCTCCCTCAATTTCTTCTCATCCAACCCTGCAAAACTGACAAAATGCTTGTCTTCTGAACTGCCAAACGGCCAAAAACCTCGATATTCTGCCTCTTCAGATCAAACTTAAGAAGTTTCAATTTCTGGGCTAATCTGTATCAACTTTACACTATCTATGCAGCACAAGGCACATCTTAAACGAGGTCATGTCCACTCAAACCGAAAAGACAACGGACCACGCCAGACTCTCCCACTATCCAACAGAACTGGCCAATGATCAGAAGTCGGACATTGCAACCGACATTGAAGCATCTGAGAAAAATGCTACTCCCAATCCCCAAAAACCAAGAATCTATCAAGCTAAGAACTCACTCGACCACCCGACCAGGTATAACCTCCCCTCTGTAATGGCAGGTCTACCAGCTCCATCTCATTAATAAAAAAAGCAAAATCCCTCATAGACCACCCCATTTGACTCCCCCCAAACTTTTCCACTAGGCTCCTCACAGCATTGAAATCACCCCCAACAGAATTCTTGGTGAATCGCCGATTGAAGAGAATTGAGGTATTGGTTAGCACAAGGTTGGTAAAGGAATTAAGAACATATGGCTGGAAAAAGGAAAGGGAAGGTCAATAGATGGTACAACAGTTTGTTTTTAGGCTTAAAGATATTACAGTTGTGCCTTCAAGCTTTTTAACTCATCTGCCTTTTATCAAAAGGTGGTTGTGAAGGTTGAAGCAAATATAATAATCCAAACCATATAATTCGGGCCCAAGAACACACCTCTGAATTAACTTTTTGAGCTCTGATCGATGAGAGTCTCCCATGGATTAATTTTTCTTTGTGTGTATGTGTTACCAGTGATATTTCTTTTGCTCAACTGAGGGATTTTTTTCTCTTTTTCCTTTTTCCTTTACCTTTCTTCTTCAAGAACCAAGTAGTTGAATCCAATTAAAAGAAGACTAGGAAAATAGAGATTGACATTTTCAAGACCCTAACCAACCAAGAAGAGGCAAATGACAACATAAAATATTTTCCTATTCAGAGATGGAAGTAGAGAAAGGAAGAGATCAACCTTTAAAATTTTAGATATACATGTAACTCAAGAGTCTTTGTATATTCAACTACTAAAAGCATCCAATAAAAAATGATCAGGTGATCCTCTGAAGAAGTGGGCCATGTCACTATGGCATTCTAAAAATATAAGAATTAAAAGAGTTCCACATACGTGCCAAATAAGAAACATATTTTTAAGGGTAAACAAAACTTTTAATACTATATACTAGATGTCACCTCACATGGCTAACACATGGCACAATATCACTAGGAGATACCGATGTGGAGATGATGCAATCGTCCACATAGGAGAAGTGAATGTCCACACAAGTAGAATTATGGTAGAATCATAAACTTGGACAACATTCAAATATATCACATAAATATAACAATAATTGTGAAGTATTTCACTGATTTAATTTAAATAATCATTTAGAGGAATCTGTTGATATTTGGATTAAAATTTAAACTGGGAAAAAATTGCACCTACATATTGAGATACTTATCAACATAAATGGTAGAGACCCTTCATATTAACAACAAATGATTTGTCACCTGACATGTAGAAAATCCAGGTATTACTTAACTAGCATCGGTAACTCTTTTTTTTCATAAGCTTTATTTTCTTTGAGGGCGTGTGTTTTACCAAACAATGTAAAACAAGACATTAAGAAACAAGATTGGAGCATTGTCTTTCCTAATCCTACTACTTCCATAATTAACAAAGAAAGCTAGTCAAGCATGATATTAAACAAGCTTGGTAAAATTATCAAAAATGCCAGTCACAAATTCAAGGTATTGATTGCACATCTATTACTACTTTCCTCTATCAAAGGAAAATATAATCAATTAAAAACAAAAGCCATTATAAACTTTAACAGCACTAACTTGAACCATATCACTTCTTACACTTCCAATCACAAATCTCGATTGCAATAGCTAGACATCCCAGACAAATATCTCATCATTTCCTTAATTTGTACAACCATTAAATTCTTTCATATACATCCATTTCCTCATCTATCATTTCTTTCAATACAACTCATCCTTCACAGCAACTTCATTTCAACTATACTCATTTTTTGTTAAAACATTATTTCTTGATTGCCCAACATCGTAAATTCACAAATTCACAATGCATAGCTGGCTTTACAGTCCTGTAGGTTGTAAAGCTTTCCATTAAATCAAAAAGTTATTCATTAATCACAAGTTACTGCATAAACAATGTTCCTACTTCATTCATCAACTTTACACTATCTATGCAGCACAAGGCACATCTTAAACGAGGTCATGTCCATGTCAAATGAAATCCACATAATCACCAAGAATACATCAAACACCTATGAAGGTATCCCCAGACAGTCAATATATATACATAATAAATAAATAAAAAATACAAAAGGCTGACAATCAAGCATGGATCAAGCTGCAATGTAGAAAGAATAGTCATAAAGGACAAAAATTAGTACAAGGAGCAGTAGCATATAAAAAATAGTGTTAGATTTTTGTGCCAAAATTTTCAATTTTTTCACAAAGTAAAAGTACTAAATGAGATCTTTTATTTGGTGAAAAAAAATATTGAAAATTTCAGTACAATAATACATTATTTTTTAAGTACTTATTTTCCATGCCGGATTAACAATTTGTGGCAGAGCGAGTATTAAACAGTCACCTTTGGGTATCTCTAAGCCATCAATACTAATTATCCTTCTTGATACTCAAAGCTTTACTTATATAACATTCCATATAAGTTGTAAACTTAATCTATTTGCGATTAGTAATTAATAAAACCAAATTACATTCCTTAGGAACAAAATGCTACATTATCATTCACAGGTTAGGCGTATATACATTCGTATCAACATCTAACAATCTACAATTACTTCTAACATGCCACCTTCAACAAAATGTTCTCCTATATATCTCTGAAAAAAGAACAAGCTAAAGAAAGAAAGACAAACAAAATAAAAACTATTTACTTGGAACGTGGATTGTTTCGGCATGAAGAACGGGAATGAGAATGTGGTACACCATATGGTCTAAAATGTGGTATGATGGAGCAGACTTGCACAAATCATACTATTAGAATTTGCGACGCTTTAAACATGAGAACAAATTACTTTTAAAAATAACATGACCAATAAAAAAATCTATTGTTCTTCAAATTAATCATATAATAACACATTTCTAAAAACATTATGGCCCATGCTTTTCATTTTGAAACTCCACTCTCTCTATGTTTTGGTTCATTTACACTTTATTTTTTTGCTCTTAAGAATATTTTAAAAAATAAATAGAAAAAATATAAATATAAATATAAATAGGATCTCTTTTAATTGCTAAATTCACTATTTTGCAACGAAAGTATACTAAACCATTAACCTATTAGCATTTTTTGGTAATACTACCAAAAATGCAAAATAGCAAACAACAAAAACATAAAAGGCCGTGACATTTAAGGTAACGAGAACTTTGAAAGTGTAACATTAGAACTTAGAAAGTACGGGACTGCTTCAGACACATGTTGATGCAGCCTAGTTGTGAAATATTCCAATACAAATCATTTGCCAAATCACTAGAAAGTTAATAAAAGTGTTTTGAACGAATAGGAGATCTATTAGTTCGCCATCCGCTCCACATCGTTTGTAGTTTAGGAACTCGTCCCTGCTTACAATGCTTATATTAAGTTTTGACCAGGGCAATGGCATTCTTTAAAAAGCATAGCCCTTTCTCTATAAGAAAGAAAAAAGAAACCACTACATGTAGGTTACACGAGAACTTGTTGTATCTCCTCAAAGTAGTGCTCACTTCACAGCGCAAGCAAAAAGGTCAAGATGTGAAGCAGCAAAGCTTAGAGCCGTTACTTTCTATTATATTAGTAAAGCGCAATCACTTTAATGGCGTAAGCATCTGACTTTCTTACTAACTGAATCAGTTGAAGGGGGTTTTTAGTTATGTTGCTGTACTTTCTCATGATTATATGCTTTTACGGTTCTAAAGTTTAAATTTGAGAATTAAGTTGTTACCATATTGGTAAGGGTAGTTTTATAAGGTGAATTACATGTTATTAGGGTTTTTTGTAAAGCATACAAACACTCACCGGTAAGTTTGGCCCATATAATATCTCCAGGTCCATGCTCATGGGAATCATCAAAACTAGCAGCCAATGCAACCATCTCGCTAAAATCAAGGTCATCCATCTCCGATGTTTTAGTCCTGTAACTCAGATTTAACTGCTGCATCTCATCACGAGAGATGTAAAACTTAACTCTCTCCTTGGATAGAAGAATATATTCTTCCTCACCATCCTCATATGAAACCTGCATTATGTTAAATGTATTACCACATTGTTTCCAACAAATGTCATGTATGCACATATATTATATCGGTGTTTTTGCTCAAGCTACGGTGGCCATACATGATGTCGATCGGTCTCTGCATTGAATCCAACCACATGACCAGAATACCAATAACCATCCAAAGGCCAGTAAACCTGTTTGCAGCAACTTGAAGTTAAGGGCCAATGTGAACATAAAATTTATACATTTTGAATGGGGATGTGTCCATTATCAAGATAAATAAATAGAAAAAGGACTTGCCTTGCATTTTAATCCAATGAATTTCTTCAAATCAACACCATCGAAACTCAACCTGTGTTCAATTCAAAATTAATATTTTTCTCAAATTTCCTTTCCTTTGTTAAATAATTGCCTTTTTTTATAATCTGGTGTCCGGGTAAACCCTCACTAATCTCTATACTAGTTAAATAATTGCCTTAAATCACATGTGGTTTTCGTTTTGGGAATAAAAGTAGCAACTTTGTAAAGAAATGAAAAACCTACCGGACCCATTTTTTAGCAGAATTAACCATTTGGTAGTCATCAGGGTTTTTGCAATTCCCCGAAGCACGACGACGTTTTCTTTTCCGACTAATGTCAGCATTGTTCACATCACAATTTTGATTCAGAGACTCTCCCACTCGAGGCTCGTCGAGCTGTTTCAAAGAGCTCAAATCAGCGTCCAATTTAACAACGTCACTGCCACCAAACTCCCTCTTCCGCTTCTTCTTCTTCTTAAGTTTCTTCTTATCATTATTTTTCTTCATCGATCCCAACCCGCAATCCTCATCTTTTTTTTCGACAAGCGGTCCATCTTCCTGTACAATTTCCAATGCAGGCGAAACATTGGACTGAGGCTGTGATCGGGACACCAAGGAATCGAAAAATGCGGGCTCTTGGAGAGAATGCAGATGGTTCTTGGGTCGGCGACGAGAGTAGCAGTGAAGAAGGGGCGGCTTCTTCGAATGTGTCGGTGGCTTTTCACAGTGAAAATGGTGACCACGGTGGAGCTTTCGAGCTTTGATCTTTTTGGACTTGACGTTGGAAGATCTAGTCGCGGTGATGCATGGAGCTGTGGCGGAGTACAAATCGGAGAGCGGTACGTAACGCTTCGGAGTGGCCTCGAATTCAATCTCAATCTCTTCATCAGCTTCTTCATGTATCAATGCCATTGTGTAGGGGGGTTTGGGGGGGAGAGAGAGCCTCGGAAGAGATGGAAAGGGCTCTCTCTCTCTCTCTCTCTCACTGTTCTCTCTCTCTCTCTCTCTCTAAATCTATGAGGCCCAGGGAATGAAATCTGGGTTTGAGATTGAGCGAGGAATTGCTAGGGTTTTGAAGAAGAAGGGGGGGAAGGGAGGGGGGGTTGGAAAGTGACAGGTGTAGGTTTTGGAGGGAGGTTTTTCCCACCAATTCTTCCGTTTCGCGCGCGTGTCAATGCCGGTGCCGAATGTCATCGCTTAGGCCTAATCTCACAGACCACACACACCTTTTCCTGCAAATGTGTGTATATATATATATATATCTCCAAGCCCTTGTTTGGGATTTCACTTTCCTTTTTTTCTTTTAATTATTACGTTTTTATAATGATCTTATTTAACAACCGTATTACATTCACGCAATTCCTTCACCTTAAAATCTATTAATGAGGTGATAAGATAAGATATATATAACAAAAGTTTTTAAAGTATATCTGAATGTAGGTCATCATTTTAAATTTTGTTTGCATGTCATTTGGAAGGTGTAGGAGAAAGAAATTGTGTAAATAAATCATTATTCTTTTTAAATATAGGAATAAAAGGTCACCATATACACCTTCAAAATGCTGATAAAAAAAATATACACCTTCAAAATGGTGAGTATTCTATACAAGTTATGGTATTTGTAATAATTAGATTATTCTCATTAATAATTGACGCTATGCTTATTTGGATGAAAAATATTTTTTATTAAAAAATTTGTGGGTGTGTTTGGTTTGTGTTTGTAAAGTAGTTTTTGAGATAAAAAGTACGAAAACTTATTTGGTTTGTCTTTTTTCAGAAATAGTTTTGAAAAATTATTTTGAGGAGAGAGTTTTAAAAAAAAGTGATTGATTTGATGTGTATAAGAGAGAGAGTGAGTGATTTTGGAAAGTAGATAACCAAATAAAATTTTGAGATTTTTTTTGAAAAAATTTGTTTGATTTGATTACTCTTAAAAAATTGTTTGTAGAGAATTTTTTCTAAAAATTTTTCTGAAAAACAAATCAAACTTACACCGTATTTTCTAATATTTGATACAATGAAAAACAAAAATCAATAAAAAAAAAAAATCCATAATCAATGGAAAACAAACATATTTAGGCAAAAAAACGTTTTCTACTTTTAAAAGGCGAAAAACATTTTTAGATTAAAGTTTTATCAATGTCACCATACTACCACTGCACTCTCACCTCCACTACCACCACCATCACCATCGCTATCATCGTTGCCACAACACCTCCACCACCACCTCCACCTCCACCTCCACTTAGGGGCGAAACTAGGATTTAGACTTGGAGGGCCAAAACATTTACATTTCTAAAAAAATATAAACATATTATAACAGTTTAATCAAAAGAAATATATTAAAATCATAGACTAAGTTTCTTCATAATAATAATATTAAAAAAAAGAATAAGAAGAAGAAGAAGTATTCAACCTTGACAAAATAAAAACAAAAGAAGTTTAAGTTCACTTTTCAACTCAATCAACTATCAAAGTGGAGCTCAACACTCTTCCAAATCTCAAAAATCATATAAGATTGCTTTTGAGCTAAATTTCATTGGTATTTCTCTTTCTATGTATAAAACCGCAGAGTCTGTCATGCTCCGAATTTCCGAGATCGGACCCATGTGAATAAACCACCCATTGATGAGTAAAAGACAACACTAATACAAAGGAATGTAAAGACTCTCATACGAATGGATACAGTAATGTCATACGTTATATGAGTTCTTCCGATTACATACACCCGACATACATGTTCTAAGTAGAATGGAGGTTCTTTAAATGAAGATATGAGAAGATATCCTACAAAAGTAAAATGCCCGTAGACTTACATCGTATACAAGGGCATAACACTTTACAAGAATGGCACTCGGCCTATAAAACAAACGGCCGAAGGGCTATACATAGTAGAGCAACCTCACACAAACAACAACCCCAACCGATGCCATATCTCCCCATCTAGGCAAGCCAATATACCTGAAAAATATTTCAACCAGGTAGGGTGAGCATAAAACTCAGTAGAGTATATTCCAAAACCTAAATATGCTCCACTAACATAAATGATCGTGAATGCAATACATATCTAATATGCTCCATGCATTTTAAATACATATGCTTCCTTTACAAAAACATTTTCGTTATCATCAAAAACTTTCGTTTATTCAAAACGTTATTCATTAACAACACATTTGGTTTATTCAAAACCATTTCCCAATACACTTTATTGAAATCATAAACCAATTAGTAAATACATTTCTTTACATTTTCTCGATTTCCAAATCATGAATCATTATTCTTTTTATTAAACAGAAAACAGAAAATAGGGCCGTAAATACAGGCATTAGAATCTCTAGGCAAATGTATCGAAAGTAGGTTATATGTAACGCCCCCCAAAATAGTATCATAAAGATAACTCATATGCGGAATAAATATGAGAAACAACATACTTTCATACATAAGAGTTTACTGTTTAACAACAATTAAATGGCATGTAGGCTTATATCTTTCCAAGTCATTGCTTGGTTACACAAATTGAGTCTTGCTCATTACATCTTAAGCCCTTGGCTTTACAAATACCAACAAACACACAACAATTCATAATTAAGAAGCTCTTGCTTCCCGAAAGTCTATCCACGCTATTGCCTTGGAGGAAACATCTCATCTGCACCTGAAAAATGGTATTCCCTTATAGGGTGAGCCAACAACCCAGTATAAATAATCTAACACAATTTATGAAGTTTAGCAAAGGTATAAATATCACGTATATAAACAATACCGATATGGAAGCATCCATAAGGCCTGTATATCCATATGCCACTGAGGCCAATTTTATTCCATGTTCTATCAATTCATTTCCAGTTCATATACACTACTCAATTCATCAGTTAAATTCATTATCTTTCAACAACCAAAATGAGACTACAACTTAATGGTTTTCCATTTATGCAAAAACATACATAAACACTTCAAACTTTGCCATTTTACAGATATTCCATCCGAAGGAATCGGCACCCATTTATATACATGTTTTCGGGTCTTTCACCCAGGACACTCCAGCCAACTTGCTTTACATAGAGTCCATCCCCTTTATTCTCCCTAAACAAATATACATATGCAATATATTTATAAACATAATCAAATATGGAGTACATCCCTTTTCTTCTCCCAATAAACATACATATACAATGTATTTATAACATAGTCATATTCAATGACACTAACAGTGGATTAGCATTAAATCGCCTAATCCTCATGCAATTTCTACAACCATCATAGTTATCCTCAATCAATAGCCCAATGCAATTATTTCTAAGAAATGTTCAATCTCAAAAATAGTTTATTCAAAACTTCCATAGGTGATATATTACATATCTAATATCACCATTTATATCAGTAACTATCCAATTTAACATATTCAATGTTAATTCCAATTATTTATACAAAATACTCATTCTAACAAATTAGGGCAAAAATCTCCCTTTTTCAATATTGACCCAAACACCCAAAACCAACTATTTTGGTACACCAATATCTTATATTCAAACCTCATACTAATTTATCTCTTATACATCAAAAACTCCTCTTTTCATTTCACACCCAAATCTTAGATTTGTTCAAATCACAACCAAATCTCATCATCTATACACAATATCAAATAACTAAGTTAAAAACCATATTAGAGTATAGAAAATTCCTACCTCAAGTGTAGAAAATGAACAAGCAAGATCGAAACTCCAAGATGATGAAATCAACTCTTACTTGGATCAACACGAAGCACTTGAAGCCCTCTACCTTATTCTCCAAGACACTAGAGTTAAGAACACAATGAATGTAGATGAAACCTTAAAGAGAAGGTGACTTATAGAGAGAGAGAGATTGTAGATTTAGGGTTGGTGGTTGAGAGGAAGTTTTTATATGCATTAGGGCCGAGCTAGGCCAAGGCGTGGTAATGGGCCGTTCTGTGGGCCGCGGTAAAAAGGGCTGAGTGAAAGGACCTTGTAGTTAGCTCGGTCCAAATATGGTTACAGTTACCACGGTTGGAGTGGTAATTAGCTCGGTCATAGTATTTGGAACCGAGGTATTTGGGCTTCTAATAGTGAACCTTGCTCTTATTAGCTCGGTCAAAACTTGCTGTAGTTAGCTCGATCTCAACAAGCAACCAAGATGCAAGTGAACAAAAGTCGAGCTATGTGTTGCATGTGAAGGTGCTGGATTGAGTATGACAAAGAGATATTGTTAGCTCGGTTATATTGTCATCCCACCGAGGTAAAACCATCTCACTTGGTTTAAGCAGTGAAGGGGGTGTTGGAGGATAAATATTATCTTCCAAGAGTGTGATTCTTAGGAGGACTCTACATGGAGGAATAAGAGTCCTACTAAGATTGTGCCACGCGGAACCTATAAAAGCTCACAACATAACCTATGTACAGGTAGCACAACTTTGATTCTCGAATACACAGAGCTTTTGTCTATTTGTCTATTTTGCTGACTTAGGCATCGGAGAGGTATTCGGCACACACCCGTCGGCTAGCTCACGTTTGTGTTTTCAAGGAGTAAAGCGATGACGTTTGGAGGAGCGCAGACTTGGTCAACAGGATCCTACGAGAAGGATTATTTCGTGCTCGTACATGGGTAAAAAGGAGATCAAAAATGAAGCCAAAATGGCGCTGCTGTGAACTGATGTACACCAGGCTCGCTCGAGCGACCAGACACAAAAAGATTGCCTCGCTCGAGCGTAGGAAGCGTCGCTCGAACGAACAATGCAAAGCTTCAGGTCTGCAACGCAAAAGCACGCTCGAGCGAAGGAAAGCTCGCTCAAGCGAAAAACACCAACCTTCAGGTCTTACAGAGACGCAGACGCACACTCGAGCACAAGAGTGCTCGCTCGAGCGAAGAACAGTTTACACAAGGCTCACTCAAGCGCAAGAAGCCTCGCTCGAGCGAAGAGGCCAAAATCTGTGCAACAAGGTTTTGGAAAAACAAGCAACCAACTTGTTCCAAACACACAACTACAACCTAATAACCAACATTAAGGGAAAGACAAGGGAAACAAGACATAAACCACCCTCCAAGCCATACAAACCCGAGTCCGAAACACCACAAGAGACGAGTCAAAACTAGGGTCGCTATACTATAAAAGTAATACCACGATTGCCATTTTACTAATATTTGGCCAACGAGATCGGCACCCATGTAAATATAGGCTAGCACTACTATTGCCATTTTACTAGTATTTCGCCATTGGGA